CCACCCTGGACATAGTCCGACATACTGTCCGACAAACTGTCAGACAATAGCTGTCTAGACAATAGCTGTCAGACAATAACTGTCCAGACAATAGCTGTCCAGACAATAGCTGTCCAGACAATAGCTGTCTAGACAATAGCTGTCCAGACAATAAATGTCCAGACAATACCTGTCCAGACAATAGCTGTCCAGACAATAGCTGTCTAGACAATAGCTGTCCAGATAATAACTGTCCAGACAATAACTGTCCAGACAATAGCTGTCTAGACAATAGCTGTCTAGACAATAACTGTCCAGACAATAACTGTCCAGATAATAGCTGTCCAGATAATAACTGTCCAGACAATAACTGTCCAGACAATAACTGTCCAGACAATAACTGTCTAGACAATAACTGTCTAGACAATAACTGTCTAGACAATAACTGTCCAGACAATAACTGTCTAGACAATAACTGTCTAGACAATAACTGTCTAGACAATAACTGTCTAGACAATAACTGTCTAGACAATAACTGTCTAGACAATAACTGTCTAGACAATAGCTGTCTAGACAATAACTGTCCAGACAATAACTGTCCAGACAATAACTGTCTAGACAATAACTGTCTAGACAATAACTGTCCAGACAATAACTGTCCAGACAATAGCTGTCCAGACAATAAATGTCCAGACAATAAATGTCCAGACAATAGCTGTCCAGACAATAGCTGTCCAGACAATAACTGTCCAGACAATAACTGTCTAGACAATAACTGTCTAGACAATAGCTGTCCAGAAAATAACTGTCCAGACAATAGCTGTCCAGACAATAACTGTCCAGACAATAGCTGTCCAGACAATACTGTCCAGACAATAACTGTCCAGACAATAACTGTCCAGACAATAGCTGTCTAGACAATAGCTGTCCAGACAATAGCTGTCTAGACAATAGCTGTCCAGATAATAACTGTCCAGACAATAAATGTCCAGACAATAACTGTCCAGACAATAACTGTCAAGACAATAACTGTCTAGACAATAACTGTCTAGACAATAACTGTCTAGACAATAACTGTCTAGACAATAACTGTCTAGACAATAACTGTCTAGAAAATAACTGTCTAGACAATAACTGTCTAGACAATAACTGTCTAGACAATAGCTGTCTAGACAATAACTGTCCAGCCAATAGCTGTCCAGACAATAACTGTCCTGACAATAACTGTCCAGACAATAACTGTCCAGACAATAACTGTCCAGACAATAACTGTCCAGACAATAACTGTCCAGACAATAGCTGTCCAGACAATAGCTGTCCAGACAATAACTGTCCAGACAATAACTGTCCAGACAATAACTGTCTAGACAATAACTGTCTAGACAATAACTGTCCAGACAATAACTGTCCAGACAATAACTGTCCAGACAATAACTGTCCAGACAATAGCTGTCCAGACAATAGCTGTCCAGACAATAAATGTCCAGACAATAGCTGTCCAGACAATAAATGTCCAGACAATAGCTGTCCAGATAATAACTGTCCAGACAATAACTGTCCAGACAATAACTGTCCAGACAATAGCTGTCCAGACAATAGCTGTCCAGACAATAGCTGTCCAGATAATAACTGTCCAGACAATAGCTGTCCAGACAATAACTGTCCTGACAATAACTGTCCAGACAATAACTGTCCAGACAATAGCTGTCTAGACAATAGCTGTCCAGATAATAACTGTCCAGACAATAAATGTCCAGACAATAACTGTCCAGACAATAACTGTCAAGACAATAACTGTCTAGACAATAACTGTCTAGACAATAACTGTCTAGACAATAACTGTCTAGACAATAACTGTCTAGACAATAACTGTCTAGAAAATAACTGTCTAGACAATAACTGTCTAGACAATAACTGTCTAGACAATAGCTGTCTAGACAATAACTGTCCAGCCAATAGCTGTCCAGACAATAACTGTCCTGACAATAACTGTCCAGACAATAACTGTCCAGACAATAACTGTCCAGACAATAACTGTCCAGACAATAACTGTCCAGACAATAGCTGTCCAGACAATAGCTGTCCAGACAATAACTGTCCAGACAATAACTGTCCAGACAATAACTGTCTAGACAATAACTGTCTAGACAATAACTGTCCAGACAATAACTGTCCAGACAATAACTGTCCAGACAATAACTGTCCAGACAATAGCTGTCCAGACAATAGCTGTCCAGACAATAAATGTCCAGACAATAGCTGTCCAGACAATAATGTCCAGACAATAGCTGTCCAGATAATAACTGTCCAGACAATAACTGTCCAGACAATAACTGTCCAGACAATAGCTGTCCAGACAATAGCTGTCCAGACAATAGCTGTCCAGATAATAACTGTCCAGACAATAGCTGTCCAGACAATAACTGTCCTGACAATAACTGTCCAGACAATAACTGTCCAGACAATAGCTGTCCAGACAATAGCTGTCCAGACAATAGCTGTCTAGACAATAACTGTCCAGACAATAACTGTCCAGACAATAACTGTCCAGACAATAGCTGTCTAGACAATAACTGTCCAGACAATAACTGTCCATACAATAACTGTCTAGACGAAAGTACTCTTACTCTATAAATTTAAATATGTATTAAGAGATTAATCATGGATATAACAACATTTAAATCCTCTACGCAAGTGCCATCACATTATATAAAACAAACTATAAAAAACTCTTCCTAAGCCAACAGCATACAACAGAATATCTAATTACATATATATATATATATATATATATATATATATATATATGCAAACAAGCCTGAATGGTCCCCAGGACTATATACAACTGAAAACTCACACCCCAGAAGTGACTCGAACCCATACTCCCAGAGCCACGCAACTGGTATGTACAGGGACGCCTTAATCCACTTGACCATCACGACCGGACAAAATGAGGTGATAGCCGAGGCTATTTGAACCACCCCACCGCCGGCACTCGGATAGTAATCTGGGGCATAGCAGTTTTTACCAAATCACCTCATTCTTTGGGGCACACGTGAAGGACACAAATGCGAACAAGCCTGAATGTGGCCCATAGGACAATAGTGCAACTGAAAACTCACACCCCAGAAGTGACTCGAACCCATACTCCCAGGAGCCACGCAACTGGTATGTACAGGGACGCCTTAATCCACTTGACCATCACGACCGGATAAAAATGAGGTGATAGCCGAGGCTATTTGAACCACCCCACCGCCGGCACTCGGATAGTAATCTTGGGCATAGCATGTTACCAAATCACCTCATTCTTTGGGGCACACGTGAGGAACACAAATGCAACAAGCCTGAATGGTCCCCAGGACAATATGCAACTGAAAACTCACACCCCAGAAGTGACTCGAACCCATACTCCCATGAGCACGCAACTGGTATGTACAGGGACGCCTTAATCCACTTGACCATCACGACCGGACAAAATGATGTGATAGCCGAGGCTATTTGAACCACCCCACCGCCGGCACTCGGATAGTAATCTTGGGCATAGCATTTTATCAAATCACCTCATTCTTTGGGGCACACGTGAGGAACACAAATGCAAACAAGCCTGAATGGTCCCCAGGACTATATACAACTGAAAACTCACACCCCAGAAGTGACTCGAACCCATACTCCCACAACTGGTATGTACAGGGGACGCCTTAATCCGCTTGACCATCACGACCGGACATAAGGAAGTGATAGCCGAGGCTATATGAACCACTTCCCCCGGCACTCGGATGGTAATCTTGGGCATAGCATTTTATCAAATCACCTCATTCTTTGGGGCACACGTGAGGAACACAAATGCAAACAAGCCTGAATGGTCCCCAGGACTATATACAACTGAAAACTCACACCCCAGAAGTGACTCGAACCCATACTCCCACAACTGGTATGTACAGGGACGCCTTAATCCGCTTGACCATCACGACCGGACATTTTGGGTTTCCACTTCCCGAATGGAGGTAATTTGGGATAAAATTTTATCCCAAATTACCCATTCCGGGGCCCGGGGAAAAATGGCAAAAAGCCTGGAATTCCCCGGCTATTCAACGGAAAACTCACACCCCAGGTGGGAATTGGGCATTCCCACCTGGGGTTGTGAGTTTTCCGTTGAATAGCCGGACCATTAAGGGTGTTTGCCATTTTGCCCACTTCCCCCGAATGGAGGTAATTTGGGATAATTTTATCCCAAATTACCCATTCCGGGCCCGGGGAACAAATGGCAAACAACCTTAATGGTCCCCGGCTATTCAACGGAAAACTCCCCCAGAAGTACTCGATATTTCACACCTGGGGTTACAGGGATTAATCCGGACCATCAGCCGGCATTTGGAGTGTGCCCCGAAGGGTATTTGAAAAACTTCCCCCCGGGCCCGGGGAATGGTTAATCCTGGCTACATTTTATCCTCTTGGCAACGGAAACCCCTGCAAACCAGGTTTGGGAAGGGTTCCCCGGGGGTTATTTTCATTGAAATCCCCAAGGCTT